GGCGCGCAGGGGAGTCGCTGTCTAAGGAGTGTGTGAGGTCCCGCGGTCGTTCTGTTAACCTCCCGCGAGCAGGACCGGCAGTCAACGCCCGGGAGGCCGGCAGTTGACGACAAATCATTCTCCTCCAGGAATGATGACTCTTAGGTGCCCCACAGTTGCATCCGTGATACACTGGAGATGAAGCAACCTCACAGCAGGCGATTGAAAACGGGCCGGCTGGTGAGAAACACACGCCTGCCGGATGTGACGAAGGGTTGGGACGCGCCGGCCCATCCGTGACGCTGAGCCCACGGCACCGCTGTCGCCAAGATGGATGAACACGCAGAAGAAGATGATTTCTCGTAAAACACACCGAGATCCTTCTTCCCACGGGAGCCCAGTGCAAATCCGTGGGTGGCTGAGGTTCTGTCTCAAGTTTCTGGAGGGAAAATCGGTGCGGGGGGCGGGGGGCTGCGCCCTGCACGAGGGAAGGGCGTTGAGTTTGCTTTTAGCCCCTTCCTGGATGCTTCCGGCAAGAGCGCCAGCGGCAGCTTCTCCCGGGTCCCCGGAAGCATCTCAGGCTACGACACGAGCAGTCTTAGCCGCAGTCTGCACCCGTGCAGCCGGGTTAGCTGCTCTGGCACCTTCCCCACGACCGCGGGGCTGGACAGCCGCCGGGGAGCCGTCACCCCGGCCAGCACGCGTCTGTGGCCTGATTTGTGCACTGCCACACCTCCTGCATTTAGAGACGCGGCACAGTCGGATTTTGCCCAAACTGCATGGCTGCGCTCTGTGACACCGCACCAGGAAAATGCTGGCGAGACCCTCGTACCTCCAGCACAGGCAGGAAGGACGGCGCTCCCGGGCCAGCCGGGGGAAATGGGCACTGACGCCACTTTCCCAGGGGCCGGGCTGGCAAGTTCAGGAGCGCTGTGACAGAAACGCGTAACCCGACACAGAACGCTGTGTCCGAGACCCCTCCCGAGAACACATGCCTGGGGTCCCGGCGCTCGCGTCACCGCGGATCAGCGTGGCACAGGAATCTGTGCCGACAGGGGGACAGGTCAGGTCCATTTGTGCTTGCTTATTTTCAATAGATGATAGAAAAACAAGGTATTCATACAGAAAAATGAATGAATTTTGATCGCTTCTCACGAAGACAACCCAGAAGTCCACAGGCTGGAGAACGGATAAGCATGGTGTGGGAGACCCAGAAAGCGAGACGTCGCTCAGCGGGAGAGAGCCACAGGTGACACAGCAGAGGGGGCTTCTCACAGACAGCTGGCCACAGCAAGCACTTGGTGTGTGAGCCCACCTAGACCATGAGCAGGGAAAGCCGCCTCCCAACAACAGAAACCAGAGAGGAGTCGCTCTGAGACAGACAGGAATTAGGCTCAGAAGGGGCAGGAGGGTGCTCCGAGCAGCGGGGAGTCTCCGTCCTGATCAGGGTGGCTGTCGCGTGGCTGCACCTGGAACCACGCGCTCACCACCTGGGACTTCCATTTCACTGCATGTAAACCTCAGTTTAGATACTTTTAGTGTTTGTTTTTAAAGATGTGCTTACTTGAGAGGCAGAGTTACAGAGAGAGACAGAGAGAGAGAGGTCTTCCACCTGCTGGTTCACTCCCCAAATGGCCATATAAGCTACAGATGGACCACCTGAAGCCAGGAGCCAGGAGCTTCTTCCAGGTCTCCAGTGGGTGAGGGGTCAAGCCCTTGGGCCGTTCTTCGCTGCTTTCCCAGGCCACAGCAGGGAGCTGGATCAGAAGCAGAGGAGCCAGTACAGGAACCAGCACCCACGTGGGATGTCGGAAGTGCCACACCATCAGCCCTCAGTTTAGATTTTGATTATTAGAAGAGATGACTTAGCCCTGTTCTTACTGATATAATAAATAAATCAGGTTAGAACAGTAGTAAAGTTTGATTTTTGTATTTTAAAATCATTGATACACCTGGACAATAGAATTGTAAGTTTATTTTAATATAAATATTTAAATCCATGCAGTTTTACCACATTATGCATTTCCCTGGAACTTCCTGGAAGACCCTTGTGTACGTAATTGTTGAGAAAGATGACATCAGTTCCATTCAGTGCTGAGATTTCAAGGGATTTCCATTTTTTTAATTTTTCTGATCTATATTTTCTCATTTTTCTATAGTGGCTGTGTATTAAGTAATTCGTAACATAAAATAAAGTGAACCCATGAGTTTGTTATTCTTAAAAGACAAATGTCGGCTGGCGCCACAGCTCACTAGGCTAATCCTCTGCCTGCAGCGCCAGCACCCCGGGTTCTAGTTCCGGTTGGAGCGCCGGATTCTGTCCCGGTTGCCCCTCTTCCAGGCCAGCTCTCTGCTGTGGCCCGGGAGTGCAGTGGAGGATGGCCCAGGTGCTTGGGCCCTGCACCCGCATGGGAGACCAGGAGAAGCACCTGGCTCCTGGCTTCAGATCAGCACAGTTCGCTGGCTGCAGTGGCCATTTGGGGGGTGAACCCACAGAAGGAATACCTTTCTCTCTGTCTCTCTCTCTCTAACTCTGCCTGTAAAAAAACTAAAAAAAAAAAAGACAAATGTCTAGAGTGGGCGCCTGGCCCACCTGTTCATCTGCTGGCTTGGGCGCCTCCACCCCACGTCCGAGCGCCTGGCTGCAGCTCCTGACTCTGGCTTCCTGCTAGTGCCCCACCCCCCAGCCCAGGAGGCAGCAACGATGGCTGTGGTTGGGTCACTGCCACCCACGTGGGAGCTCCCGATTGAGTTCCCAGCTCCTGGACTCAGCCTGGCCCAGCTAAACATCGCCAGCGTTCGCAGAGTGAATCAGCAGATGGGATCCCTCCCAGTCCACTTCTCTGTCTCACTGCCCCAGTGAAAGCAAAGCGGAAAGAAAAGACGACACACGGAGCGACACTAACACTGCACCAGGATGTGTGAGCACCTCAGACAGGGCCAGCTGCCCCTCTGCCCGCCGTCCGGAGACCCCAAGGAGGCCACAGGCCGGAGAGGAGGCTTGGTCTCCCCACCTGGCCGGGCAGCGCCCCAGGTCCCGCTACTCCCTCCCTTGTTCTGCCCCGCCAGCCCCTCCCACGGCGCCACATGGCTCCAGGTGAGTGCCAGCGCTCAGAGCTCACCTGCGCGCTGAAGGAAGGTGCTCCAGTTAAAGGCAGCGTTGGGTGTCGTGGTGATGCCTGGGCCGGAGGAAAGACAGGAGAAGCTCACTCGGCTGAGACTGAGAAACACCAGTGCCCTCCTGCGCCCGCCGGGGCACCACCCAGAGCCCTCAGGGCCTTCCTGAAGGCCCAGGCACTGCCTTCCCCGCCCCCGCCCCACCCAGGGCTTTCCTGGGAGCCCTTCAGTTCCTGATGAGACAGGAGACGGATCCACCCGCCCCTCGGTCCACTACTGGATCGAGCCTCTGGGTCCCGCAGACTGTGAGACCCTGAGAAGTGCACGTGGGCCCCAGGACCCTGACACGGCCCCACCTGCTCTGGCAGCCCCGTGAAAACTAGATCTTCGCTCAACACGCCAGCCCTCCCAGGCCAGGCGCGGCCTCCCTCCGTCTGCGATCCTTCCCTACACAGCTCGCTGCCTTTAAACCTTCCTGACAAGGGGGAGCAGCACGAGAGGCCGAAGACTCGGAAATTCGTGGTGAGAGGAAAAGTTTGAAAGCTTACAGAACGGAACCCGAAACCTGCCTCTGGGCTCCCCGCGCAGCAGCTGCTCGCGTGTGCCTGCCCGGGCTCTGGCTGCGCGCAGGTGCCTCCCCCACACTCCCAGGACCCTTCAAGACCTGCTGGGTTCCTGGAAGCCCAGGCGCCACGAGCTGAATGGGTGTGCCACAGGGCACAGTGTGCAGGCAACCCGGCTGCGTCCACGCCCACCTGCTGTGTAGAGCAGCCTGTGGCCAGGCGCTCCAGGCCCTGCCCTGACACCACCCGGGTCGGCACACACCTTCTGACAACGGGGGCTTTGAAAGATGGTTCTGTTCTGAGAGATCACTGCGGCCACTACACGTCTACCACGACAACACGCCACCCGGCCACGGGGGCCTCAGTGGGCCACATGCTAAGTCCCAGGGAAGCACCACGCCGCCCGGCCATGGGGGCCTCAGTGGGCCACGTGCTCACACTTCTGTCCCCTGTATCCCTGCTGTGTAGACAGGTGGGTCTTCTGTCCCCTGTATCCCTGCTGTGTAGACACTGGGTCTTCTGTCCCCTGTATCCCTGCTGTGTAGACACTGGGTCTTCTGTCCCCTGTATCCCTGCTGTGTAGACACTGGGTCTTCTGTCCCCTGTATCCCTGCTGTGTAGACAGGTGGGTCTTCTGTCCCCTGTATCCCTGCTGTGTAGACACTGGGTCTTCTGTACCCTGTATCCCTGCTGTGTAGACAGGTGGGTCTTCTGTCTCCTGTATCCCTGCTGTGTAGACACTGGGTCTTCTGTCCCCTGTATCCCTGCTGTGTAGACAGGTGGGTCTTCAGTCCCCTGTATCCCTGCTGTGTAGACACTGGGTCTTCAGTCCCCTGTATCCCTGCTGTGTAGACACTGGGTCTTCAGTCCCCTGCATCCCTGCTGTGTAGACACTGGGTCTTCTGTGCCCTGTATCCCTGCTGTGTAGACACTGGGCCTTCTGTGCCCTGTATCCCTGCTGTGTAGACGGTGGCTTACAGGTGTGTGTAGCTCTCAGGACTCTGGCGAGGGAGCCAGGTGCCAGCACTGGAGCAGGGAGGGTGGAGCCGGAGGGCAGCGGGGCAGCCTCCCCAGGTCCCGGGTCAACTCAGCTTGGACTCGCTGGGCCTTGGGTGTTGCTCTGTGGAACCCTCCACTGACGAGCTCACCACGCCCCTGCCGGTGGGGAGCGCGCAGCACGGCGGTCTGCACGTTACGGCGTCTCCTACCCATCTCTTATTCCGCTAGACAGCCAGGAAAGCAACGTCCGTTTCGCTAAGTATTGCTCCCTAAACTCAGAAACCGTATCACCTCGTCCCTTGGCTCGGACTCTCCAGGGAAAGACGCATCCTTTAATTGCCTGCACACGTCGTTTTAGAGTTCGTACCTTGACTCTGGACGTAGATCTTACCCTTTGCGTGCGGCTTTTGAAAGGAAAGGAGAAAGGAGAAAAAAAGAACACACAGTCAGAGCCATGGTCCATTCTGATGGCTTTTTAGAAATGAAGTGGAGGCCGTTACACCCTCTTAGAGAGCGGCTCTAGACACCCTACACACACACACACACACACACACACAAACACGCGTGGCTCTAGACACCCCCAGCCCACCCCCCACACACCGCTGCTAACAGGCTGGCTGCTCTGTGGGCACGCGTGGTTCTAGACACCCTACACACACACATACACACACACACACACGTGGCTCTAGACACCCTCCCCCCACACACACAGCTGCTAACAGGCTCACTGCTCTGTGGGCACGCGTGGCTCTAGACATACTACACACACACACACACACACACACACACGTGGCTCTAGACACCCCCCTAACCCCCACACACACCGCTGCTAACAGGCTCACTGCTCTGTGGGCACGTGTGGTTCTAGACACTCTACACACGCACATACGCGCGCACGCATGGCTCTAGACGCCCCCCCCCCACACACACACAGCTGCTAACACTCACTGCTCTGTGGGCACGCGTGGCTCTAGACACCCTCCCCCCCACAGACACACACACAGCTGCTAACACTCACTGCTCTGTGGGCACGCGTGGCTCTAGACACCCTACACACACATGTGTGTGTGGCTCTAGACGCCCCCCCCCGACACACACACAGCTGCTAACACTCACTGCTCTGTGGGCACGTGTGGCTCTAGACACCCTCCCCCCCACAGACACACACACAGCTGCTAACAATCACTGCTCTGTGGGCACGCGTGGCTCTAGACACCCTACACACACATGTGTGTGTGGCTCTAGACACCCCCCCCCCGACACACACACAGCTGCTAACAGGCTCCCTGCTCTGTGGGCATGTGTGGCTCTAGACACCCTACACACACACACACACACACACACACATGCGTGGCTCTAGATGCACACACACACACAGAGCTGCTAACAGGCTCCCTGCTCTGTGGGCATGTGTGGCTCTAGCAAGAAGCACGTAGCAGAACGCGGTATGAGGGCAGCCGCCCAACTGTGCGCCCGGGACATCAGCAGAGAAGTTACTGGTGCTCGCAGCCAACAGACGAGGGGCACAGCCATCCCATGTGTCGCTTGTCCCCAGATGGGAGGGGACACTTCCAGAAGTGTGCTCAGTGCACACACACCCTGCAGTGGTGGGGAGGGGGCCGGAGGAGGAGGAGGAGGAGAGGACCCACTACATCGGGAAACCAGAAGGAGGCTCGGGCAGACTGCCAAGGGCACACCGTGCACCCATGACCAGGGCTGGGAAGGGCCGGCGGCGCTGGCCGTCTGCACCCACACGCACACCTGCTGTCCCCGTGGGGCTTTGCTGGAGAGCAATGGGAGCCACCTCGGAACCGCGGCAGAAAGGTCTATGAGAGGCAGCCCAGACAGAGGCGGGGGAGAGGGGGCAGAGGGGGCAGAGGGGGCAGAGGGGGCGGAGGGAGCGCTCCACGGTGAAGTGGCCGCGGGGCGAGGCCGACGGCGTTTCACGGCAGCACCCACAGTTGTGAGCGAGCCCCGTGCGTCACGGACCCACAGGGCCCAGGGCAGTGCCTGAAATCAGTGGGCTGGAGAGCTACTCAGAGGCCACGGGAACGCTCTGTCCTGCACGCAAACCCGCACAGCCGGGCATGGCGGGGCCCTCAGGGCCACATGGCCGGGACCCTGTGTGGGGCACGCTGCTGCACGGTGGCCTCGGTCCTCCTGTCAGTTTCACAGGTTGAGAAGCCCGCCGCGGATGAAGCAGCTTTGCCAGGAGGCAGACGGTCCACGGGAGACACAGCCCCTCGCCGGCTGGGTGGGCGGAGGTGGCCCTGTGCCAGACTCTGTCTTCCCTGGGCGCCACATTGTATGTTTAACCAGTGGGACCTCAGCCTCCAAGCCTGGCACTAGCGAGCCTCCCTCGCCGGCTTCCAAACTCTCTGTGCTGCCGGCTGACGACGATGCAAACTTACACCGAACAAGTGGCGACCGGTGAGCGTTTGAGGTCAGAAGCTGAAGTGCAGGGCTCGGAAGTTTCCTTTTGTTCAACCGTACGTTCCACAGGGAAGCTGAGAAAAGCCTGGTGCTCAGGCACGTGGCGCCTGTCCCTTTGCCAGCCCCACAGCTGCCAGGCCGGCTGAGCACACAAACGCCCGAAGGAAGACATTACAAAGACCACAGGCGTCGAAAGCCCACGCGAGATGCCACGGTGATGGCTCCAACACCGTCCGGGCCAGCCGTCTCCACCACGGGGCGGCAGCACAGACTCCAGGCCCTCGCCACCATTTCCCTTAGAAATGTGCTTTGCAATTAGCAACTCCCGAACTCAAAACGCCTTTCAAGTCCTTGCTCCATCAACAGAAGGGACGGAGGCCTTCACTCGGGCGGCAGAGGGCTGACCGCCTGTGACTTCTTAGGGTGGCTGCTTGCACATCTTTGTGCATCAAGTCTCTAGAGTCTGTTGGGAACTTGAAACAGGAGCAGCGGGTCCTGGGGAGACTTGTGAGACGCAGCGTACATGGTATTTTGCAAGCTAATCCAAGCAAGCAGCAAACAGAATTATAGTGTAAAAGAAATCTTGGCCGGCGCCGCGGCTCACTAGGCTAATCCTCTGCCTTGCGGCGCCGGCACACCGGGTTCTAGTCCCAGTCGGGGCGCCGGATTCTGTCCCAGTTGCCCCTCTTCCAGGCCAGCTCTCTGCTGTGGCCCGGGAGTGCAGTGGAGGATGGCCCAAGTGCTTGGGCCCTGCACCCCATGGGAGACCAGGAGAAGCACCTGGCTCCTGCCTTCGGATCAACGCGATGCGCCGGCCGCAGCACGCCAGCCGTGGCGGCCATTGGAGGGTGAACCAATGGCAAAGGAAGACCTTTCTCTCTGTCTCTCTCTCTCACTGTCCACTCTGCGTGTCAAAAAACAATAAAGAAATAACAGAGACAGACAGAAATCTGGATGGAGTTTAATCATTGTACCGAAGGAAATCTGGCAAAAGCCAAGTGGCTTATATCGATTTTGAAAAGCATTTTCTGTATTAAAATGTTACAAACCCAAATTAGCTTTCTTTGCTCAGTATTTATTGTTGCTTCATTTGCCTGAAATAACACTGAGTCAACGTCCTTGATGGACGAGCTGGTGGACACGCATCACAGAAGACGGGGTGCATGTTATGCAGTGCACGGGGAAGGGTCCCACCTGTAAGGTCTATGAGAAACCATGGCTTACATGTTCAGCCCCCACAAGGCACAGCCAACATACGGGAGCAGGAGATGCACCCGGCCATGCCATCTTGCATAGACACCGATAAGCAGGTGCGATTTGTAACAGATGCGGGCGACAGCTGATACCTTCTTAGCGTGCAGAACAAAACGTCTCCCTGTCCTTTGGCTAACATAACACAAGGGCCAACCTCCCAAAAGCAACTTTCTACAAACGGAAACCACAGTAAATGTTATTTTCAAAAGATGCGCACAATTCGATGCTCTATGGGTGGCAAACACGTAGCAATTTTTACTTTGAAATTATAACGCAAATTCTGATGTGGCTTCGTCAAAAGTTCTCTTAACATAATTACAACCTGCGAGTGGGTGCTGTGGTGCACCTGTTAAGCCTCCACTCGGGGAGCCTGCATCCCTTCTCAGAGTGACAGCTCCAGCCGTTCCAGTCCTGGCTACTCCGCTGTGGATCCAGCTCCCTGCTCATGAGCCTGGGAAGCAGCCAACAACAGCCCAAGGACGTGGGCCCCCGCTGTCCTATGGGAGACTCAGGTGGACTTCCTGGCTCCTGGCTTCAGCCTGGTCCAGGCTCGACTGTTGCAGGCGTCTGAGAAGTGAACCAGCAGATGGAAGATTCTCTCTCTCTCCCTCTCTCCCTCCTCTCTCTCCCTCTCCCTCTCTCTCTCTTTCAAACAAATAAATCTATTTAAAATTACTAATTGCTTAAAAGAACTCACAACCCACAATATAAAGTTCCCAAGATGCATCTGTGCCGCAATGCTTGTAGAAGTTTAGCACAGAACAGCACTTCTGTTCCCTCCACGCTTTTCCCTTAGAAATCTGACGTCAGGCAAAGAAAGGAGGAAATCTGTGTTGGGTGTAACACGCCTTCCACTGTCTCCTGTGACTGAACCAGACCAAGGCATAGGAACGAGAGATGACACGCACAGGGAGGTGAACAGGGGAGACAGCACCCTGGGTCTTTGTCCCATCAGTCCCAACGTGGAGCAGGCAGGAGCGCGGGAAGAGGAACCACCCAGGACCCTGGGCACCAGCAAGGACACGCGTGTGGCCCCTCCCTCTGCTGCGGCGACTCACGGAGCAGGAGAGAGGCAGGGAGGTCCCATCACGTGCACCAGGGACCCCAGAGATGATGGCGACACGGCGAGGACGTCACACTCGCCCCGCGGTGGGGGCAGCCGTAACCGGTGCTGGCTCTGGCTGCCGCCTCGGCGATTTGCAAAGACAGACACGAAGCTGGGACCTTGCAGTTAGAGGGAGCGGTGAGCAGCTCAAAGGCGACGCGCTCACTGCGTGCTCAGGAGTTAGCCGGGAGCTCGTTCGGATCGGGCCAACACTGGCGGCTCACCTAGGAACACTGTGCCCAGGACAGCCGAGGAGGTCTATCTCACTCCCTGTAGTTTAATGTGCAAAAGAACCTTGGTGAGCAGGTGCACGAACCGAAAGCAACGGTACACTCACACGGCGCCTGACAGCAGACCCAGGTCAAGGGTGTTATCGGGGGCCGTGGTGCAGGGGGTTGGCCTCCACCCATTTGGAGCCCTGGTTGCTCCACTTCCGAATCAGGTTCCTGTTCATGTACCCAGGAAGGCAGCCCGTGATGGGCCATCACTTGGGTCCCTGCTACCCACATGGGAGATCCTGGCTCCTGGCTGTGGCCTGGCCCAGACGTGGCTGCTGCAGCCACGTGGAGAGTGAACCAGTGGACAGAATACACCTCTCTCTCCTACCCTCTC